CAGCAGCAAATCTGAAAGAATCAACACATCAGGGGTGAATGGGAACACGCGCTCGGCCGGCAAGCGGGGCAGAGATCAAACTGTTATTCACCAGTGACGGGAAGAGCCACTAAAATAGATGTTTTGGAAGGTTCTACAACTATTTGTGAAGTGGGGCCAAATTTCACTAATAGCTCCAGCCAAAAGGGGGGAAATAATTAGAAAAACATTGAAACGCGTCAGTTTGAGTTTTTAATTTTGTTTCTCTCTAAGTGAAACATTTTGCTTCGGAAATGATGAAACATTTCAATCGCAGCAGGATTTTGGAGCCTTTGTCCCAGTGAAACGGGCATGTTTATTTGGTTTGTCACTTACTGTCCAAGTTAAATGTCAAAAGGAAATCTGAGTGGTAATTTTTTCTTTTTTTCCTCTTTTTTACATGCAAAATTACAAATTTATCCATCGGTACAGGGCATTAGAAGAGGCCAGCTAAATGGCCTAAAACGCTGAAGAGAAGCACCTTTACTGCCTGGAGCATCCAAACTACCCTGAAATCACCACCGAACCATCTAAGATGGGTCAATTTGCACCGGGAAGCACCAGGGCAGCCACAGGAGACAGGAGAGATTCGAGGACAGGGATCCCTCTGCAGAACCTTTCCTGCAACCAAGCCAAGGAGCTGCCCCAGGTCAGCTCTGGGAACAGGTTTGAGGGAGCAGATGGCTGGGGGGATTGATGGGCAGCAGAGGGGAGATCAGGACGTGGTGTGAAAACTCCCTTTTGGTGCTCCCTGAGGAGGGAATAACTGGGTGCTGTCGCCCAGGCTCCTGCCCACAAGCACAGGGAAAAGCCACATCCTGCCTCTTGCACCGCACAGACCGGCCTCTGCCAAGGCATCAGCCTCCCCCATGACTGATGCTTTGGCTCTTTGTTATTTTAGGGTCTAATGGAAAGACTCGCAGCCTTCTCCAAGCTTTACTAACAAGGGGCTGAGCACCACAGCCAAGCGACTTGGGATCCCTCAGTGTTCTCTCCCTCCTCACTGTGAGCCCAGATTTCCTGCAGATTTCCTTCCCTTCAGCAATTTCTGCCTAGACACCTGATAGGTTTTGGCAAATCCAGGACTCCTCACCGCAGATTGTTCGTGTTGCTTCCCTTGGGAATTATCACTCCGCTCACCCTTATCACAAATGGCACAATATTTACAACAGGCTTTAATGCCCCTCCACTTCTTTAAGCAAATTGACTGCCTGTCCTAAAACCACCCGGGCCTTGCCCAAATAATGACCTTTAACAATTCTGTGCTCAAGCCAAAGGCTCTAACTTCCTCCTAAACCCGCCAGGAGGGAACTATGGCAAGAGGGTGTTTTTTTAAGTTCCATTACACCACTGCCTGCGCAAAGGCTAAGGCCTTGGCTAAGCACTTCGCACCATTTGACAAGCTTGTCCCAAGTCCAAAGCGCCACACGCAAGACTTCTAGGAGGGGACGTGCAATGGGGTCTATAGGAGTCTTGGTGTGGGGTACAGAGCCCCTTTGGGCATCCTCCTAAAGCACCAGGTTCTGGGAGGAGCCTGTGATGTGGTGGTTACGGGAGGAAGGGAATTGGGAGCTGGGGGATGAAACTAGAGAAGGGAAACATTTAAGCCTTAATCTTGGAAACAACTTCCTGATAGCGAGATTTATGAGCAATGGGAATAGCCTCCTTTGCAGAAGGCTGGAAGCTCTGTTGCACTGAGCTTTAAAAACAAGATGGGATAAAAGAATAGACTATATACGTGAGGAATGGATCACGCTTTGACCCAAAGATGGATAGGACCCAGCACTAACCCCCCTGCTTACACCCAAGTGTCAAATCTCACATCTGCTTTCTGACATTTGCCCATGGAGATCATTAACTAGCACGGGACATCAGAGCTGTGCTGCTCTGCTGTGAACGACATCAAAGAAAGCTGACCAGTACAAATTCCTATCGCCTCTCTCACCTCGCTGCAGCTGTAGAGGTGACTTCTTAGGGCTGCTACCAAAAATCTCATTTTTCAGCTAACGCCTGGGTGTAGTAGCCAGAACCAGGGGCTTGACACATCCGACTTTTGTTTGGGAGTTTGTGAAAGGTGTATTTTTGTTAATACATGTGTCTTGTTTAACTTGGACGTTGAACTAACTGAACTTTTTCTGACTTGGTTCTCCCTGTATATATACATATATATCACATCTTCCTGTAATCAACCTTTCCCTTTTTCCTGCCTTGGCCTTTCGCAGCAAGTTAATGGGTATCGGCTTTCTTCAGAGCCGCTTTCGCGCTGCTGAATGATGTTGAAGTGATAGCTCTGGCGATCTGAGCTTTATATTTACCCACAAAAGCAGTTCAGCTCCAGCAGTAGCAATACAGGCTTTGCAGCAATCTGCTCCCAACCTCAGCAGGACCTGGTTAGAGCAAGGCATGAAACAAAAGTTAAAGGACATCCCAGAGGAGCACAGCTCTCAGCACTGGGCACAAATTCCCCTTGCTTTATGTTGCCCGTGTTCTCTGCTCTCTCCAGGTGGGCATCAGCCGCTTGGCTAAGCCTCCTCTCCATGTGATCCCCAATCCTGTGATGCAGAAACAACTGCCCTGCTGCACGACACGTGCAGAGCACAGCCGGCTCCGCTCCGGGTGCCCAAGGAGCTCCAGCAGAACTGGCAAAGCTGGGGGCTTCCTATCCCACTCCCAGAGCCTCTGCCAGGGTCTGTCAGAAAACTCATTTGAGGCTTAGCCTCATAAACCACGGAGGCAGTGCCCTGAGAAGGGATTAAATGCGAAAGTCTGTGACCTCAGCTGAGTACAGCGAGTCAAAAGCATTCTGAATTTGGGCTTACTGCCCCACAAAAACATCACTGAAATCATTTCATTAATCCCCAGGGCCTCATTTCCTTCCTTCCTTCCTTTTCTCCGCCAAGCTGAAGCTTAAAATAGTGTTCTGCATTCTTCATATTTCTCTCCAGAACTAATTAATATCCAATCAGCCAAAAGTGCTTCGCCCAGCAGCCTGTCTCGATCATGCAACCTGCCCACCCTTGGCAAAGGCACCCTACCAGACTCGGAGATCCGCCCGCACATTTCTGGTGGAATATTTGGAGAGAACTGAGTTACAGCCCCAGAAAACAGGAAAATGCCAAGGTTTGAGCTCCACACGCAAACTTACCTCTGTCCCACGTGCACACATGGTGCGTGTCTGCAAATGAGCACAGGTTACTGCAGCTCTCCAGTGCTGCAGGAGCAGCCGCTCTCCCCCAGCTTCTAGCAGCACCTAAAGGCAAGAAACACATTACCTTTTCCCTCTCTACACCGGGAGCTACATTGAACTGCAAGGAGGAAACCCAGAGATTTTCAGGGCTCATGGGAATCTAAAAGCCACTTCTGACATTGCTAATTCCCCTTTGATTCAGGCCTGAGGGAAGGACAGGGAAGAAGATGGAGCACAGGTCTTTTCTCCCATATCCACACTTCACAGCTACCTCTCTCCTTCTCAGCAGCCCAGGGCAAGCACGAGTCAAATGACAAGGACGAGCAGGATGACTAAATATCACATGTAAAAGCAGAATTGTGAGTCCAACAAAGCTGGACAGAGAATCTCAGGCAGAAAAGCTCTGAACGTATCATCCCCTGAGACATCAAGTCCCCTAGCAGGTCTTTCTTACTGCAGGTCTCCACGCGCCAGGCATGAGCTCAGAGGAGCACGGACGAAGCTTCCCCCGTCTCCGGCATCCGTGTCTCATGGAGCAGGAAGGAGGCTGCAAATAATGCAGCAAACACATGAGAAAGACACAGCAGCTATGGAGAAGAAGCCATATGTGTGCGGTCCCAACTACATAGCTGACTTCTGATAAGCCTGAACTCAAACGCACAGACCAAAATCAACAAGAGAAGATGCGTTTGGGCCAGTCTCACGAGCGGTATCCCTCCCTCGCTGCCTTTGCCCACACAAGAATCTCCAAGCCATGGTTTACTTTGCAATGACTCAATGCCCTGTGAAACACCGCTCCCAAAGCCTCCCCGCGGCTTCAACAAGGGCGGCTGGCAAATACTGCCCCAAGGGTAATGTGGGGAATTGTGCAGCAAAGCTCAGCTCCTGGGAGCCCTCCAAGGCCCTGGAGCACCCCAGGCAGCTCCAAATCGCTCCGACCCACAGAGCAAATCACACGCTTAGCAACTAGTACCGCTCTTACTCAATATGGACATATGTATTGGAATATGCACACAGACACATACACAGAAAGCGGCCTTGATTTCTGCAGATCTCCATCTCTTCCCAGTTGATAGCCTTAAATGTGCTAGGAAGAGCCTGACCTGCACCCCAAAAAGCAAGCGAGTACATTAAAGCCACAAGATGAAGGCACATTGGTGGCTTTTCTTTGCCTTTCCAGTCATGAACAGCCTCGCTTCCTCTCAAAACCGAGACCTTGAGGAGCACCTTGTCCTAGGCAGCGGTTTTGGTGCTGCCTCAGGGGGAAACAGTTCAGGAAGTCGAGAGCAGAAAATGGCGATACAGGGCAAGACTCGCAGCAGCTCCCCCAGGCTCCGGGACCCTCCGCAGCA